GACAGAAAACCTCAAGGAGCTTGTCATGTTTCTGGCAGATCATCTCCTGCAGTCGTCCAGTAGCATCAGTCAAATTGTGTCTCTTTCCTTTAAACAAACTCTCGTGTTGCTCGAGGTGATTCTGACAGTAAGAGTTCAGACACATCAGACAGGACTTGACGGCTTTGTATTTTCTTCCAGTACAGACGTCACACTGCACATCTCCAGCTCCAGCGTAACAGTCAGCAGGGCGTTTCCTCTTCTTCGGTTTCTCCACCAATTCAGCCAGCATGGTGTTTGTAGCTAAAGCAGGTCTTGGACTGAAGGTCTGTCTGCACTGAGGGCAGCTGTAGATTCTCATCTGATCCTCCTGATCCCAGCAGCCTGTAATACAGCTCTTACAGTAATTGTGTCCACAGGAAGTGGTCACTGGATCCTTCAGGAGATCTAGACACACTGCACACAATAACTCATCCTGAGAAAATCTGTCTTCTGCCATTTTACTGCATGAATACAGAAACAGAAACACACAACAGCTCAACTACACTTCAGTTTCTCTTTCCCTGAAATCACGTGTTTCCTGTTTCCTGCTTCTGTGTTTGAGTGATTTGTGTGTAAAACAGGTCTCTCTCACACACACACACACACACACACACACACACTTGTATTTCTATCATTATGGGTTCATTCCATAGGTGTAATGGTTTTTCTACTTAAACTGTATTTTCTATCCCCTTACCCTAACCCTTCACCTAAACCTACCCCTCACACAAAACTACAAGCAATTTTTGAATTTCCAATATATAAATAAATAAAAATAAACACAATTTAATGTTTTTTAAAGCCATTTGTTTACAGGGACATAGGAAGTGTCCTCACAAACCATGTTTACGCTGTAGTACCGACACTGTAAAAAATGTCAAGCTGTTTCAACTAATTATTTAGTAACTAGTTCCACAGAAATTTTACGTTCAGTCGATTTCGGTCTTCAAATTGTTGCCCGAATTGTTATTTTTTTAGTTGGTTCACAGTTGGCTTTACTGAAATCGTTTTATTATAGTCCATTCAACTAAAATGATTTAATTGGTCAAACATTTAGAAAACTACAGCAAATGAGGTCAATTAAAATTTAGCCATTTTTTCCAAGTGTTTCATATGTTACCTCAACTAAGATTTATTATCTGGGCATGTAACAACTCATTATGTAATAACTGCACATAATGTAATAAGTATTAGATTATTAATGTAATAAAATGGTCATAATGTAATAATTTTCTCAAAATGTAATAAAAACTTGAGCTCAAAATGTAATAACAATTATTACATTATGATAAATTTATTACATTATAAACTGACCAAAAATATTGTAATATTGTCATAATTATATTTATAATAAAGTATAAGCAGCCCAGTATAAGGGACAGTCAATATATTTGTGCTGTTATTTAGCCTATGTGTATAATATATATAAATAAATATATAAATTAAAAAAAAAAAATATATATATATATATATATATATATATGTCACAGTGTGCCAAAGACGAGGACTAGGAGAGATGCAGGTAACGTAAACTTCATTTTTATTAAGTAAACACAAACATATCATATCAACAGAGGTCTCTTATAGTGCGTGATAATGAGGTGCAGGTGCTCAGTACTCTGGTGATTGAGGGCGTGGCTGCGTGATTGATTCTGTGGCTGTAGATGGTGTCTCCATGACAGTACCCCCTCCCCCACGTGCGTCTCAAGATGTCCGGGAACCACGACGACGAGGCCGGCCTCGGCCTCTGGGAGCAGGACGGTCCGGGTGGAGTCGGTGATAATCGTCACATAATGAAGGGTCGAGGGTGTCATCTTTGTCCAGCCAGGATCTCTCTTCGGGACCGTACCCCTCCCAGTCGACGAGGTATTGTAGATGGCCGCCCCGTCGCCTGGAATTTAGGATTTCTCGAACCTGGTAGATGGTGTCATCGGCAGTGACCTCGGGAGGAGGAGGAGGCACTTCCGGTTCTGTGGAAGGAGGGAGAACAGGATCTGTGACAGGTTTGAGTAAGGATACATGAACGGTTGGTGAAATACAGTACTGTCTGGGTAACTGGAGTTCATAAGTCACTTAATTTATCTGCCTCAAGATGTTGAAGGGACCCATGTAGCGGGGACTCAGCTTTTTGCAGGGCAGTCGTAGGCGGATGTCTTGAGTGGAGAGCCAAACTCGATCACCTGGCTGGTAGAGAGGAGTATCCCGACGACGGACATCCGCCTGAGCCTTCTGACGTCGAACTGCCCGTTGAAGATGGATGTGAGCCGAGTCCCATACCCTCTCACTCTCTTGGAACCAATAATCCACGGATGGGACTTCAGACAGTACTCCTGACAAAGGGAAGAGTGGTGGTTGGTAGCAGAGTATACACTGAAATGGAGTGAGGCCGGTGGACTCCTGACGAAGTGAATTTTGTGCATACTCGGCCCAAGGAAGGTATTGGCTCCAACTGTCTTGCTGGTGGTGACGGTAGGCCCTGAGATAGCGCCCGATCTCCTGAATCTTCTACCCTATCTTCGACACCCCTAACAGTCGGAAGAATGAGCGCCAGACCCTGGAGATGAATTGAGGCCCTCTATCTGACACTATATCCTCTGGAATGCCAAAGTGTCGGAAGACGTGGTTGAAGAGGGCCTCTGCATTTTCAAGGGCAGTAGGTAGACCCTTTAACGGAATGAGTTTGCAGGCCTTTGAGAATCGATCTATTGCAACGAGGATGGTGGTAAAGCCGTTAGAGGCAGGTAAGTCAGTGGCGAAATCAACTCCTAGATGGGACCAGGGTCGACGCGGAATTGGCAGTGGCACCAGTTTTCCCTCAGGTAGACGATGGGGTGTTGAAATAATGGCACAGACTGAGCATCCTTTCACAAATCGGGCGATGTCCTGGGCCATGTTGGGCCACCAATACCTTCCCTCGAGGAGTAAGAGGTGCACTGCCTGCCTGGATGACCTGATCCCGGAGACGCATGTATAGAGTCCAGAAGGGAAATCCTGAGGGAGGTTGGTACATATGTTCGACCTTCTGGACCTCCCGGCGGAGCAGGTTCTTCTTCGGTGGCGGCACGGATGTCGTCGTCGAGAGATCAGATGATAGGACACACAAAGAGGTCTGGAGGGAGCACAGGTTCTGGATCCTCAGATACAGGGTCAGGTGAGGAAATTCTTGATAGAGCATCAGCTTTCGTATTTTTATGGCCTGGACGGTATGTGACGATGAAGTTGAATCGAGTGAAGAATAATGCCCATCGAGCCTGTCTGGGGTTTAGGCGTTTTGCTTCTCTGAGGTATTGCAGGTTCTTGTGGTCAGTTATGACCTCAAATGGATGATTTGCTCCCTCCAGCCAGTGCCGCCACTCCTCTAGGGCCAGCTTAATGGTGAGCAGTTCTCTGTTGCCGATGTCATAATTCTGCTCCGCCGGGGATAGCTTCTTTGAGAAGTAGGCACATGGATGGAGTACTGGGGGTTCACCTCTCCGCTGGGATAGAGCACTGCTCCGACTTCTAGAGATGAAGCGTCCACTTCGACAATGAAGAGTCTGGTTGGGTCTGGGTGCCGGAGAGCTGGAGCAGTGCAGAAGGCGGCTTTTAGCTTTTGGCAGGTTTCGACTGCATTTTGTGTCCAACAGAGACGTTTTGGTTTCCGGCGTAGGAGAGAAGTAAAGGGAGCTGAGAGTTCACTATCGTTACAGATGAATCGACGGTAGAAGTTTGCAAACCCCAGGAAGCGCTGAAGATCCTTGATGGTAGAGGGTTGTGGCCAATTCTTCACCGCTTCCACTTTGGTTTGATCCATTTGGATACCTTCTGGCATGATGATGTAGCCAAGGAACTGGATGGTAGGTTGGTGGAACTCACATTTCTCCAATTTCAGGTAGAGGTGGTATTGGCGGAGCCGGCTGAGTACTTGTTTAACATGATTGAGATGGTCAACGAGATTGGAGGAGTAGATGAGGATATCGTCTATGTAGACTATTACAAATTTGTGGAGCATGTCACGGAAGATTTCGTTCATGAAATTTTGAAAGATTGAAGGGGAGTTGGAGAGCCTGTACAGCATAACTTGTAATTCATAATGTCCTGATGGAGTAATGAATGCTGTCTTCCACTCATCTCCCTGACGGATGCGGATTAGGTTATAGGCACTGCGGATATCTAGCTTCGAGAACAGGTGAGCTCCACGCAGTTCCTGGAGTGCCGCTGGTACCAAAGGAAAGGGGTAAGCAAACTTTACCGTCTGGGAGTTTAGATTGCGATAGTCAATGCAAGGTCGAAGTCCTCCATCTTTCTTGGCCACGAAGAAGAAGCTAGAAGCCGCTGGAGAGGTGGATGGTCGAATGAACCCCTTTTGAAGTGCTTCCTGGATGTACACATCCATGGCCTTGCGCTCCGGGATTGATAATGAGTAGATCTTACCCTTCTGTAATTTGGCTCCAGGCAGGAGGTCTATCGCACAGTCCCATGGCCGTTGTGGTGAAAGTTTTGTGGCAGCAGTCTTGCTGAAGACGTCCTGGAATGCCCTGTACTCGTCTGGGAGGTTGATTTTTACAGTAGTTTCTGGGCTCTCAATGTATAGCGTGTGGGATTTCTTTGACGTGGAATCTTGAAGGTACGTAGGAAGCGTGAAGTGATGAAATTTCCAGAAGAACCAGAGTCGAAGAGGATTTTTACTGGGAAAGATCGATGGGCATAGATTAATACAGCATCATGATATCGAGGGTTATTAACTAAAGAGTTGATTTGGATAGTACTCACCGCTGGACTGGGCAGGTTTGGATGAGATGATAATTTCCTCCACAATACAAGCATAGCTTCTGTTGTATGAGACGTTGGCGTTCAGTGGTGGATAGATGGTACTGATCCGTTTGCATGGCTTCTGCTGCTATCGTTGGAGGGTGAGAAGTCAGAAGCATTTTCCTCGACGGAGACCGCGAATAAGTGTTGCGAGACTTGTTGGGCTTTAAGCATGAAACTCTCCAGTCCCACGGAGTCCTCATAAGTCGCCATCTGCTGACGAAGTTTGGGGTTTAATCCACGTCGGTAAGCTGACAGGAGTGCAATCTCGTTCCAGCCGCTGGATGCCGCTAGCGTGCGGAAATGAATGGTGATTTCATGGACAGTCCATTCAGCTTGTTGCAGTCTGAAAAGTTCTTCATGCACAGAGAGAGAAGAGGCACCAGTACCAAACACGTCTTTAAAATGGGTTACGAAAGAGTCAAGGGATCGAATTACCGGACTTTTCGAGCTCCACAGAGATTCGGCCCATTGACGAGCTCTTCCTGACAGCAAAGAGATGAAGGATATCTTCACGCGGTCTCCAGAGAACTGATGGGGAAGCATCTCGAAATACAATTGACATTGCAATTGTGTGCAAAGAGTCCTCCCTTTATATTTTCACATGCACTGAGCCTGTCACTCATCTCAGTTCATCGGTTCAATGGATGTGTCTGTAATTAGCTACACTGCTCAACGCAGCAAACATTG